TAGCATCACTGAAGCAATGAGCATGAAACTGAGCAAACTCAGGGAGGCAGTGAAGGACAGGAAGGTCTGGCCCAATGTGGTTCATGGGGTCATGAAGAGTCGGACATGACTTAACGACTGAACAACAACAGGAAAGAAGAGACACTTGCAGTCTTCTGGTTGCTCCAGTCAGAATGGATGATGATGCTGAAAACTGTACTTCAACATCTAGAGGACTTCAGGTTCTTCACTATCTAACCGCATAGACATTATGGTTGTCAAGGTAAGAAAAAATGTAAATAGTTCTGGCCTAGTGAGAACAAAAAGCATGCTAGTGACTGCCAACTGGTTCCTCTTGCAATGAAGAATGGCTGAATAAACTCATACGACTCCAACTGTAGTCCATTTCTTGTTTTCATATGCACCAGGATCTCAGAATATTTTACTCTTAATAAGCCATTCAAACACTCTTTATTTTTGGCTTATGATGCCAGGGAGGTATAATCAAGGTTCCATTTGTGTGACTGGCCATAATGCAGTGATCTGAGTTAAAAGTTTTCTTGCTGGTAGCACTTTGTGGATCTCCTTGTACAATAGGGTGGTGCCAACTCTTGGGAGCTTCTGACACTAGCTGAAGAAGTATTTGTTCCCAAGCCATCTGCTGAATCTGTGCTACTGAGTCTTTTACTATTGCTACTGTTCTGTTGTTTTGTTTTTACACTGCTGGGATTTTATGCATTTCCTATTGTTTTGTTTTTTGTATTGTGGTTTAGAATAATTTGAAGAAAACCAGAAAACAAATTTTATAAATAAAAATGAAGTAAAATAAAATAGATACAGAATAGTTTTGAACCCAAGGGATAGTTTAAGGGCTCAAAATTATAAGCAAACTTGGTAGGATAACTGCCCTCCAAAAGTTATTCACATGGATCTCCAGTTTGTCCTCCATCCAGTAGGTTTTTATCTTTGGGTGAAAGACTCTTATTTATTTTGGAATTTGGATTTACAGAATGTGGCCAAGGCCAAAAAGTCTTTCCCAAAAGGGATCTAAGACTATGCTACTTAAACAACAGACTTCCATGCAAAATGGCCGCATTTGTCACTCATGGGTTTACTGAAACAGTTTTTGATACAATATGAGAAGTGAATTCTCGTGATTAAGGGAAAAAGGAGAACAAACAAAACCCTCCAACAAACCATTGGGCTAACCCAATCCCTTGGGGACATACATACTAGCTATTATTACATTGATTTTGATAGAAGTACTTTATCATAATTTTGTAATGCTTGCACTAATAAAAACCATACACATATTGGTAATATGCTACAAAATAAATTACTACTATGATCTGGACCAAATCAACCAGGTGAAGGCTAACAATGAATGGGCATTTAATACAAATACACAGGACTCATTTCATTCATATAATAGTATCTCTTTGGGTCTAAATTTGCAGCATTTTTTCATTACTAAAAAGAAAAAATATTGGCTTGAATGACAGAAGTGAATGGTTTAAAAAAGATGCATAAGCATTTACTACTTAAGATGACTATTATGAAACTATGATTTTACCTTAGGCAACCTGTTGTGTTGCGCAGAACTAAAGAAGTTTGAAATTTAATTTTATGATCATCATCAAAGGAAGAATTATTCCATCCAGAATGAGGAACTATCACACTGTTTGTTAATGTTGCTAGAGCATCTCGAATGATTGTCATTTTTACTGCATCACATGAAGACAGGTTCCAGAGGACACCTTTGGAAAAAAGATGTATCACATTTTGTATCAGAGAAGACATATCAGTTTCAACTATCATTTTAAGAGCAAAGGACTGATAATAGTAAACCCAGTACAATTAAAAAAAAAAAAAAGATTGTAATGTTGATAATTATGATAGCAATGCAACCATCACCACCACTAACAGCACAAAACAATATTCTTTTTTCTATGTGTTTTCTGGTCTGTCAACATGGCCACAGATTACAAAGAAGAAGCTCTTCACTAGGTCTATAAAACATGAAGTGTCACAGCTATTGACAATTTTATAAATCAGAAAGAACTCTGAATGGTATGAGACAGCAGTGCAAATGGTGGATTGATGCAACCTAGACAGCAATCCCATACCCATTTTTCTTTGGAGTAAGACCCACTGAACCCAATAAACAAATATAGCACTGTGCACTGCTTCATGAAGTTTTTCTGATATAAAGCATAATCCCAAACATGTATATATTCTAAGGTATGAAAAGAACAGTAACCCACCATTTATAATGGAAATATAGAGCAGGGGTGATTTAGGAAATATGTAATATTTTTGACTCAAGAAGATTTTGTTAAAAATTGATTCAGTGTTATACTGGTCTAGTTATTTTTCAAAGAATCAGAATATAAAACAATGATTATAATGGATTTATTGTAAGTAAAATTACAGAAGCTATTTTTATAAATAATGAAGATAAAGGAATTATATCCCTTACCTTCCTAAAAGATTGGCAAAAAAAAAAAAAAAAAAGGAAGAAATATAGCATATATCAAATTGCAAATAAAGCCTGTACTTCTTTCTGTAGCTCTATAAATAATACTCCAATTCATAACTCCAAACAAACATTTGGGACTTTTTCTCTTGGAAAAGAGGCAAATAAGAGTGATCATTATAAGTGTACTCAGTGAAGCCTGGTGTGGAGAAAATGAATGAGTCTTTCTTCCTCTCAAAATCCTAAACAGTGGGGTCATCCAAGGAAGCAGAATGTGGGGGATTCAGAACAGACAAGAAATACTTTTTTAAATAGTGGCACAGTTAAACTAGGTAACCACATTGACATACATTGATGACTGCTTGATTGAATGACTTTAAAAGGGGCAAATTCATGGAGGATAAAAGCCCATTAATGGCTACAATCATAAGTTTGACCTAATGTGTAGTACCAGCTGAGTCACTGTGGTTTGTAAGAGACAGTTAAAGTGGTTTCAATACAGTTTTCTCTTTTACAGTCTTCGTGGTCTAATATTTACTTAACTGTTCAAATTTCATGCTTTACAAATATTTACAATGAGAGAATCTGAAGTAACAACAACCTGTCTCCCCAAATTGCAAAACAATTTTGTGCCAAACATCTTTAGCAATATTGTTTTTTCTTAGATAGTTCTACAGATGTAAAACAATATTTCCAATATGTGGAACTTCGGTGCAGTGTTTTCTTAACAACTATCCTGTCACTATCTGGATACCTAGGAAGGAATATATGACTCCAACATTTCTCATTTTATGGTTCTTTCTGGCTCTGAATTCCTCTCTCATCAGATCCCAGGGTCAGAGTTAGGGCAGCAAAAACAGGATGCTTTCTATCAAATTAGCTGTCAGTTTTCTTCTCAGAATCCTTTCCGGTTCATCTGTCTGTGACCAAACTTTTTTTGGAGATTTTCTGTATTTGAATCACTAATATTCCCATCCAAATACTTCCTCTAATTCAACACTCTATAGAGTTCTGTTTATTTTGTAATATTTATTAATTTTATGGGTATAATTATGCAAACATTTTTGACTACTGGGCATAAATAGGAATGCCACAAATAAAATCTAAACTAAAAAGATTCCTAAATGTTGGCTTGACAGTGCTACTTGAAATAGCTTCTCCAGTATTTGAAATGGGCAATAGTTTCTCCAGAATTTGAAAAATTGGAAGAAGAATTTTGGGAACATAATTTATTGATTTTGTCACAATTTATCTCTTTCATTATAGTTTCTTCTCATAATGTTGAATAAACTCAGACGTTTATTGACCAGTAGGTATCTTCCATGCAGGAACTGTAATGAAGAATTAATTTTTATAAGATGTGATTTCCATTCTTTTACCAATGCAGTATTCAAACATAATGTTAAGCAACATACTGTGTGAACACATAAAGTCTGTTTCCCCTCTCTCTTCCTTCCCTTGTACATATTACAGTTGTGGAAATGGCTCAAGATTTACAGGCCTAGTGAAATGGCTGGTCATAGGATTTGCAGATATTTGCATAATAGACATACATATAGTCCTTATCAACTGCCCTGTTTAGTGACCGTTCAAAGTTACAACGGCCCTGGAAAAGTAATTTTATAATCAGTCCTTGCACTTACGATCGTCGCATCCCGCAATCACGTGATCACCATTTGCGTGCTTCACAGCCAGCTTCCAACAAGCAGTCATTGGAGAAGCCAGCAGTAAAATCACAACTCATGGTCACGTGATGTCTTGCTTAACGACCACAGGTGATTCACTTAATGACTGTGGAGGAAGTGAGGTCGTAAGTACTTCCCAGTTATATACCAGGAAATCCCGGTTTACTTTGAAATCATGTTCTTTTGTTAATTTGCATGTGCAGAATCAAACTTTTGGTGTAGATACAATGCCAAGCACATAAGATTCCCCCTACCCAGTGGTACTGTTTTGTTTTTTTTTAACACACGTCTTACATCAAAGATAAACTGGACTAAGGGGAGTGGCTAGCCACCAATGAAAAATGCATGCTGAGCCAATTGTTCTCCTCTTGACCCAACTCTTTTGATAGTTTTAGCTGTTCAGATCTGGCTGGAGTCCTGCTAAGTGATAAGATGAAATAAGAAAGATGTCTAAAAAAGGAACTTCACAAAGAGACAGATGGATTAAAGCTTTCATATATGAACCAAAGACAGCAGACACTCTGTTTCAGTAATGAATAATGAAGAAATGGAAGGTAAAGAGAATGTGTAGAGAGGGAGCTTGAAAATTATATACCATCCTGGACACTGTTTTAATTGTGGAGTCCCTGGTGCTCTCTGAGCTTGGTTGTTTGCTTGCAGACATTTCATTACCCAACTAAGTAACATTATCAGTGCTGGTGAGTGTTTATATATAGTAGCTTGCCCTGCCAGTGTTGGTGGGGGTGTGGTTTTCTCCTTCCTTGATTAGGGTATTGTTTTCAGCTTGATTGTCTGATTGCCTGGTGTTAATCCCTGCTTATCTGGGTGTTGGCTTCTGGAAAGGATGTGTTCTTAGCTTTTTGTTTCCTTTTTAGCTTTTTCATTGTCTCTTTTGAATGGTGTGTAAATGTGGTTTATCTCTATGTGTCTACTGATGGCTGATTTGTCTGAATGCCAAGCCTCCAGGAATTCCCTAGCGTTTTGGGATTTAGTTTGGTCTAGGATGCTCACAGTTTCTGAGCTGAAACTGTGGTTGAGTCTGTCCATGTGTTGTGAAATTAAGGAGTTTTCATTGTGTCTTCTGATTGCTAGTTGGTGTTCATGGATGCGTTCTGCTAGTCTTCTGCCTGCCTGTCCTACATAGTGGCTGTTATGTCCTTACACTGTATGTTGTAGATGACTCCTGGTTTTTCTCCTTGGGCTACTGGGTCTTTTGGTTTACTTAAGATGTTGTTTTGGAGGGCTTTAGTTGGTTTGCGTGCTATGGTGATGCCGTGTGGTTGTAATAGTCTGTTGATTGTTTCTGAGATGTTTTTATGTATGATAGTGTTATTCTTTTCATAGCTTGTGTTGGTTGTGTTGTAGTGGGTTGAGTAGTCAAACACTTTTTGATAAAGTTACGTGGGTATCCATTGTGTTGGAAGATGTTGTATGGTGGTCTGTTTCCTTTTTATGGTGTTTTGGGTTGCTGCAGTGCATTTGTACTCATCTGAATAATGTTCTTACACAGCTCGTCTTGTGGGAGGTTGAGTTGTTACTTTGGTAATGGAGCACTTTGTCAGGGTGGGTTGTTTTTTGATAGACTTGTGTTTCTAATTTGCCGTCATTTCCTCTGCTGATGAGGATATCCAGAAAGGGTAGTGTATTGTTTTCTTCTTCCCTTGTGAACTTTATTCCTTTTATTCCATCATCAGGTAACAACATCATTACCTGACATCATCATGAGAGAGTACCAAGGACTCCACAGAGAGCTACATATATTCTCTTCTATTGGAACAACGCTTCAGAAAGCATGCAAATGGGAGAAAATTGCATGCAAGCAAGCCTCCACCAAGGAACAGCTATTCTTTCTGCACAAATGTCTACAACAGCAGGCCCTGCCCAACAGTGTCAGATTCAAACCTCCAGTAAAATGTACAGCTGGATGGAAAAAGCTCAACAAAGCAGCAGAAAAATGATATGGCTAATGATCATGGATGCTCACCTCAGATTAAACTAATGCCAGCACACCATAGATAACCTCAAGGAGCAACTGGAAGAAACCTTGAAGTCAGAACACACAAAAATGCTGACAACCACCATCAAGACTACATCTCTAAGACAAAATGAAAAAAGGGAAACAAAACTCCAAACCAAACTGCTCAAGCTAAACCCCAGAAGCAAAGAGGTACTTGAATCCAAATGGGTAGTCAACATGTCCAGCTGCCCACTATCTACCGCAGAATACAATACCCTTCAGAAAGGCCTCAACTATAACAGACAATGCTAATCAATTAGAATTCTCTGCAGCCTTAGAAGCAGCATTTAAAGCCACAGGACTTGACACCAAGACCCCACAAAACATAAGGCAGTTAATCATACCACAGACCAGAAGAACACAGAATCAGAACCAACTCAAAGCAGAGGATAGTGCTCCAAAACCTAAAGTAGGACCAAACTATCACCATCCTCCCAGCAGATAAAGGCTGTACCACAGTTATCATGGATAGAACACAATGGATACAAAAAGCCAAGGAATTATTAGAGGACAAAGAAACCTACATCCCAGTAAACACTAACCCAATACAGAAACTGAACAACCTGATCAAGAGAACCC